CTACATGCAGGGTCCACGTGTGCCATAAACTATAGACCATTCTCAAAACTGCTTCTTATTCAGGAAACAGACCACATACCCAAAGCAGCTACTCAGCTATTTGTGGTAGATCCCACCATGGAGTTGATTGCCAGTCTCCTCATGGGGAATAAGTACCACCAACCGCCCAGCCACTCAACCAGGCCCAGCCAAGTTGACACACAAACATAACCACCACAGATATATTCAGTTTTCTTCAATGTAAAGTTATTACTAGGATCCATTTTGAAGATAGGATTGCATGTTGGGGTTTCACTGAGAAAGTTATACATTTGACATGTTGAGTGTGTCACTGCCTAGAAGAGACTGGTTCAGAAACAGAGTGTTGATAGATTGGAAAGATGAGGCAGATCTTTTGTCTCCATTTTCTCAGTGAACACAGAAGTAAAGTCACCATTTGGGAGCAATGAAAAGAGAGCATTTTGAAGATCTGAGAAAGGAGAAATTTGAAATGGTCCACTCAGAGTAAATTGACTGAAAAAATGTGATAGAACTTCTGGGTAATGATGTGTGGAGGGAACACTTGATAATTGTATGACATTTATGTCAATCGTATGACAAGTTAACATCACCAGTAACACAAAAATCAACATCATGTGCTCATGAAGTGATTCAAATGAGACAAATACAGTATTACTGAAATATTCCCACTAAAAACACGTAAGATTAACAGCAAGACTGTGAACAGGTTAGCCTCTCTATGTTGTTGTTTTTAGGTATTGTCAAGTTGGTCCAAAGTATGACCATTTAGGATGTTCTACTTCTTGGGGTCAGACTTTGATTTGTAGAAGAAGTAAGTTTTGTGGTTTCTTTTTTTTTAAATTACAGTTGAAATTTTGCCAAGTGAATGCAGTGAAAGTAGAAAGGAGTAAGTTTAGAATATGTTCAAGGGAGTGATTATCATGATGGATCATGGAATAGAATCTCCATTAGGTGGACAAAACGGAGTTGAAGGACAGTGAAAACACAGTAAGGTCAAAGTCTTAAGAGTCCCAAAGCAGTTAAAGTAGAATTCTAGAGAAAGATGGATAGGAAGTAGTGATTACAGGAGTGGGGTGGTTGAACTCAGGATTTGAGAGATACGTCACATAAGTTCTTGTTTAATACCATACCAACTTTATGAGGTCATTTTTGTTATCTCTGCTCTAGCCATGAGCAAATTAGGTTCATAAAGATTAAATAACTTGACCAAGGTCACACAGCAAGTAAATGACAGAGCTGAAATAGAAAATAACATTTTTGGTTTTGGATTTTAAACTCTAAAATCTTTGTACTCTACCAGCTATCCTAATTCATGACAATTGCCCACTAAACAAAGAATAATCCTTTTTATGATTGGAAATGATTGTCATGTATTGTTTTAGTTATTCTGGGCTTATTCTAGTGTGCACATAAGAAAATAAGTCCTCAGAATACATTTCTAATTTTAAAACCATCTCTTTTTTTTTTTTTTTTCCTTTTAGAAAAATTGTTGTTGTTGTTGTTATGTGCCGTCGAGTCGGCCCCGACTCATAGCGACCCCTCCTTGGGTTTCCGAGGCAGTATCACTATGGAAGTAGGAATGCCCAACCTTCCTTCCGAATAGTACCTTCTATAATTGATTGAAAACTATTTTTAGTTTTCTCTTTCAAAATTCACAAAGAAGCATTCAGTCATCACTATTGAATAAGCTGTCAATGTGGAGTAAATTCTACCTGATCAATTCAGGGTATAATAAAAATTCCTACATATTAAAGAGATTCTCCTGTTTTCTACATTAAAATGATTTAAATAGGGCCCTATTTAATGATAAACAAAGGTGATTTAAGGAAAAGAGTTTAGGGGAATTTTGAGTATCCCTATTCAGGAAGCAACAAGAAAATTTACTTAAATTCTAAGGTTAGTGGCAGTAAGGATTTTATGGTTCAGTAGAGGGGAAAATGGCATTTTTAGTAGAAGGTTTTTCAGCCTAATAATTAAAATAATAACACCTAGTGGACTTTCACAATACTGCAAACAAATAAAATCAAATTGCATGGGCTGTTCTGGGTTTAAATTACATGGAGCACTTTCCAGGAACACTTGTAGGTATAAAGGCCTGACTGAAGTCGGTGGTAGAATTCCTGAGCAGAGGGTTATTTATTTGTTTTGTTATAATTACCTTTGTTCTGTGACTCATATGCTCTTAAGCCCCAGATTTTATTGTTCATAAGAAAATGTTCTCTTGAAGTTCTAAAATCTGGAAGGTTCAAAAGTTATTTTTTTCTTAAAAAAAAAAAAAAAATGGTTATTAGAACTACTGTTGTTGTTGTTGTTATGTGCCATTGAGTCGGACCCGACTCACAGCGACCCCTCCTTGGGTTGCCAAGGCAGTATCACTATGGAAGTACATTGCCAAGCGTTCCTTCTGAGGAGTGGTTGGTGGGTTTGAACCTCTAGCCTGCTGGTTAGCAGTCAAGTGCCTTAGGCACTATGCTACCAGAGCTCCCATTAGAACTACTACTTACCCTAATACATCTCCAAAGAGTGCCTTTGATTTCGCTCATCCTGTCTTCGATAATGGGAGTTTAAGTTTCCATGTGGAGTGGTGGAGAAAGTGTTCCATAGCTATCCAGCATACGAGGTGGGCAGCCCTGGATGGAGAGACTTAGGCAGTGGAAATGTGGGCTTTCATGCTGGTCTTCACCATTGGTATAACTCATTTTCTCTCAGGTACTTACTTGAAAGTTTCTGCTTCTCTTTCCTTTATCAATGGGATGATTCTTTCTGAATTTACTAGTTCAGCTTCCAAGAGATGGGATCTAGCTGGTTCTGCTAATTAACATTTCGTTGGTATGGCAAATTTTATTTCCCCCTTCCCAGGAAGTTGCTTCATACTGATAGCAAGACTGAGGGAAAGTCCTTTGCACACAACTGGCTCGTACGTCTGTTTGGGTATGGTCTTGGGTAACAACAGGGTGGATGATACCAGTTTTGCTTGAGTCAAGTCTTTACCATGAAGCTTCACTATCTTGTTAGAAACACTTGGAATTTTGATACCCATGATAAAGGAAACTGTTGGTTAGCAGTACAACAGCTATTCTTTCCCCCATCCTCCTTTCCCTCAGTTTTGTTCAACTCTCTCCGAGTAGCCATGATGTTCAAGGGAGGCGCCTGGAGGAGAATCTTGGTTTTTCAAAGACAGTCATGGTAGTCCAAATACCCTTGTCAAAGGACTGATTTAGATGCAGCCATATAATATAATTCTGGCAAAAGACACTTGAGGAGATGACTGTTGAGGCTTTTTCTGTGAAGGATTTGCTCACTCTTTTAAGGAAATACAAAGCTTTTCTTACCTGGAGATTTTTGCTTAGAATAGTAAAACATTGTTAGGATCCTGAGAGGAGCCTGTTACGAGAACAGGCCGGTACCTTGCTGATGGCAGAATAGGGAGGTGATGACCATATCCAGGGTGTTATTGATGGTGCTGAATCATCACATAAACTAATCTTGGAATTGCTCTACTGTCAGGTGGGCAATTACTTTGATGCAATGGTAGCCTCCAGATATACTACCACACAAGCTATCCCAGATGTAATTGAACAGAATGGCTCCACAGATCAGTTAAGATGCTTGAATCACAATGTTTAGTAAATCATTTTAAAACAATTTAGTCTTCTGTCCTTTCCTATCTATTTGAACACATACGTGATCTTCTTACAACTTATACTGTCCACATCGTAAGGATTCTGTTCATGTCTAAGAAATACTTTGCTTAGTAGCCATTCATCTGTACTTAACACATCTTAAGAGGTTTTGCCTATAGTTTTCAAATGTATTCATCTAACAGAATTGAATATTCTCAAAAGCAAATTCCTGTCACACTTGCCCTGGAATTTCTAACATGAAGTAAAATGATAAATGTTTAAGTTATTTTTAGTTTTTTGCTACTTGCAGCTGAGAGCATCCAAACTGGTTTTCCCTACAGTCAGAAGAATATATCCCAAGGCCAAATGAAACATGGAGTTAGATTATAATTATAGGTTTCTTACATGGCAATATAGGCATCAGATACTACAAGAAACTAATTATGGTGTCTGCATGAATATAATGTGTGTTTGATCATTCTGTTTACATTTCGAGCAATTGGAGGCATAGTGCTTATCATAGTGAGCCTTTTTTATAGGAGTGGGACAATTTTGTCTTGGTGACCTTCAGAGCAGTGTGAGAAAGAACTTACAGTTTTAGTTCAGTGTTTACTAATAGAGTTATTGTTGTTGTTGTTATGTGCCGTCGAGTCGGCCC